TTCGTCGATCGCGCAATGGCAACATTGCAGTTTGGTAGGGTGACGAATTTTTAAATTAAAACGAAAACTTGTATTTTTTAAAGAACGCGAAAGAACTATTCCTTACGAAAGGGGGTGGGCATGAAAAAAGCAAGAACATATTTGGGTTAAACAATAGTGGCGAAGTGACTTTTGAAAAAAAAACTCTTCTTGCTTTTGTCATCTTTATGTGTGCAGTAGGCCTATGACATATGCATGCCTCCATGCAGGATTAGCTATTGACTCCAATCAAGTTTGATCTGTGGCGTAGCTGGTAAAGGATAGAGAACTATGACCATCCCCGCCTGAACATCATTTTAAAGACTTTAAATGTGAATAGAAAGGAATAAACTTGTGAAACTATAATACCGATGTCATCAGGCACCATTCCAAAGAATCTAAATCAATCTAAATAGTAAAGTTTAATATTCTAAAGCAAAATTTGAAGAGAAAGGAATATTTTAAGATACTGACCAGTAATAATTTTGTTGTCAAATCGATCACTTATTTTAAACCATCGGCTTTTTTCTCGTGAATTCTCGATTGCAGGGCCAGGTCGTTGCTGTAACGGACTGTTTTTTCCTGCACCCGTGCACGCCAACGACAGCACTGTGCCTGACCCACCCGCCCACCTAATATACGTTTTACTTCTAAATGCAATTTTCAGAAAAAAAAATCTATAAAAAATACTGCATAAAAACCGGCGAACAGAGTTCAGTAAGTGGCGAAAGAGACACAGCCATGTCTTTTTTGGCTCTCAAAGCTCTGTAGTAAAAGATGAACTCGGCATAGGCCTTGTCGTTTTCGCATGTAAAGGGGCGTCTAAAAGACGCACGCGTAGGCTGCTATGGGACATGGGGATTCTCACTCAATTGCTTAAGTGGCTTAAATGTCTGTCACGCCTACTGAAGCTGATAGGGGGTAATTAACTATCGTTTAGCAGCAATTTAGCGAGAAACCCCGTGGAAATGGATCGATCCTGTAAGATCAGTCTAGGTATGGGAACCTAGTCTTATATGTACTGACCTGGCCAAAGCAGGGATGCTAATGCAGACCTTATGTACTGGTATCAAGGAGTTATAACTCCTTGCTGGTATTACACTTAATGCTGCCAGCAGTGTGTGCAGTGGGGGCATTAAAAGGTCAGCGGGGTTTGCAGAGGTCGTCGCGTCTCAGAAATAAAAAAAAATTCAACATGGGTCCCAAGACAAAAACCCTGGTTGCTGTGCTCCTCACTGTGACTGCCGTCTACATCGCCAGCCTCTACGTGGATGATTTCGATCCCGGTGAGCATGAACGGTCTTTGTCGGTCCTTATCTAAGTCTGATGTACATGTACATGTTCATATAGTCTACTGTACTCTACCATGTGGACACGGGACTGACACTTGTGATCAGTATGTGAGTAGACAATTAAAGACTTAAGGCAGACCAACTTAGTTTGGTGAGGCTGAAAATACGCCAGTCGATCATATTTTTGTGTACCACTCTCTCTTTCTCTCCT